TTTAATAACACAAAGAATGTAAAGGGATTATTTACAATTAATCTTATTGAGGTTGGGAAGGAAAATACATACCACAAGAGTTGCATGGAGCGCCAGCGCCGCTATCATGTCCAAGTCTAGCTTTACTGAGTTTCTCTCGTTGGCTCTCTAACTTCGACAACCAAGCAGGAGCCTCAGGTGTCTCCACACAGGATTCGCTCATCTAGAATGAAACATACAAATTATATCTACGGAATTATCAGTAGGAAGCCGGAACATTTATTTGTGTATTTTCGTATACACTATTGTTACACATATCACATTATATTAACCTTGCAACTTCTTACTAACCTTAGAGTAGATGTCTGTGGCCAATTTTAATAAATAATACTAAATAAAAACCAAAAATGAAACACAAAAGCACAGTGTGTATTAATTGCCGACACAACTGACAGGAGAAGTGAGGTGACAAATTACAGAGTGAAGTTACCTATCGATAATTACGTTGATGGTCGGTCCAAGTAAGAGTATCCATCTTAGACAATACATAAATTAAAATTTATACTAAAAATAATAACAGACTATGAGGGTCTAGTAAAATATTTGATTGAAAAAAAATAAATTGTAAATTAGTACAATTAAATAACTAAACACCGCCTATTAAATTTCTTTACAAGGCAGGTTTTGACTAAGCTACATATTCAGGGCTCAGGGTCCTGTCCTGTTATCAAAAGTTGGGGAAGTTGCCTCTTTCGTTTATTTTATTTATTTTTTTATGCTCTCCTGATCCCGTATTATCAATACCGTATCAATGATACGTACTACGGTTTACATGGACTGAGATAAAGTAATACCGATGAGTAGTTATAGTTGTAGTCTAAAGAGGAAATAACATTAACATTGAATTTAATTTAATAGTTGTTCAATATTGAATTATTTTTTTACAGATTTTTTTTATACCTCCGCTAACCGCTCGCGCGCATCCTTGGCTTGGCCTAATGCAAGGTAAAAAAATATGCTTGTGTTACGAGTCAAGCCATGAACCATTCTTACTGCAAAACTTATGCCCCCTGTGGCGGACAGCCGCTCGGGCGTGCGGAAATAAGAAAAACCTTCGGTTAAAATGAAGATATATTCCTGCAAAATATGCCCACAACGGCTATCAAAAAACATAACTTCACAACTAAAACAAAACGTATAAAAAGTAATAAAAAAAGTATAAAAAACATAGACAATATAAAAAAGAGGTTGGTCCACCTATCGGTTCCCAACACCCCCTTATTACAAAAAGTTAGACTCTGGTTGAGTCTGATTTAAATTGACAATTAGGAGGATGGAAATATAATTTCAAAGTAGTCTTCGTCCCGGGTTTAACTGTTTTGCAATAAAATAAGGCCTATGTATGTTTTTGTAAGTGCAAATACACAACATTTCAACAAAAATAAACAAAATAACTACCACATAGCGGAAAAGTGAATTAGACATAAGTGTGCAGAGTATTATTTGTTTGTACAATAAAGCAGTTTTTATTTAAAATTTTGATAGAAATGACGATATTTTGTAATCACTCACATCACTAGCTAGTTATGAATGGAGCATGGAGGTGAACAAAGATAATATAATCTTTATGGGGAGTACTCACGATCGTATCGGTATCGTTATTGTATCGTCTTAATCCAATTAATAATCGAAATAAATAGAATATTCTTTTTTTACAAGGCGAAGATTTTTCGGCAAGGCGAGGATTTTTTTGCATTTTTTTCTGTAAGGCGAGAAATAATAATAATAGAGACAAAATATTTCTAGAAATCTCCAACACGAAGCTCGATCCGCTGCCGCGCCGCGCAGAGAGTGCGCTATCTATGTAGGTATAGATCAATGTCATAATCACAGACAATTAATTTGTCTTTTGTCTATTCTTTCGACATCCGTCATTTTCCGTGCCGTGTGTGTGTTGTCCGTCATCCTGCATCCATTTTTCAATCAAAGCAAGCATATTTAGATTTATTAGTTTTTATTCTATGAAGCATTTTGTGTTAAATATTTGTGCAGTATCGTACTTTTGCTGTCTTTATTAATTTGTGTTTATTGGAAAAAAACATCCATATTTCGTAAAGGTAAATAAAAAATAGTTTGTTTTTCCATACGTTCAGATTTCGTGAGTCATAGTTTCGTCTTCATTGAGTTCTTGTTTCAACAGATGTCCTCGGGGCGACCGATCAAGTGTGTTGTAGTCGGCGATGGTACTGTTGGAAAAACATGCATGTTGATTTCATACACCACGGACAGTTTTCCAGGCGAATATGTGCCTACAGTGTGAGTTATCTTATTAGACCCGAGTTGTTAATTGTATGCAAATGGAATGTGTGGTTTGTTTATCATTTGTCGTCATGAGTTGTTAACATTTCAAGGATGTTGTTTGCAGGTTTGACAATTATTCGGCGCCAATGGTGGTGGATGGAGTAGCAGTGTCCCTTGGGCTCTGGGATACAGCAGGACAAGAAGACTACGATAGACTTAGGCCTTTAAGTTACCCACAAACTGATGTCTTCCTTATATGCTTCAGTGTTACAAGGTAATCAATGCTAATGAAGGCTAATACTATGAAATAGTTATGTTGAAATAATAATTGTCTTGTTGTTATGTTTATGTATATGAGACCAAAAGTTTATTCTAAATGTGATTTCCGTATTCAGTTTAGTAATGTGCAATATGTTTTACAGTCCCTCATCTTATGAAAATGTTACTTCCAAGTGGTATCCTGAAATAAAGCATCACTGCCCCGATGCACCTATTATATTAGTTGGTAAGCACTTATAAGATTTTATATCCATGAAAATCTGCAGCACCACATCAAAAAATAACTCAAACAAACTTATAATTTCCAGGAACCAAGATTGACTTGAGAGATGATCGTGAAACCCTAAGTCTACTCTCTGAGCAAGGCATGTCACCTTTGAAGAGAGAACAGGGACAAAAGCTTGCTAACAAAATTAGAGCAGTGAAATATATGGAATGCTCCGCACTGACACAACGTGGCCTCAAACAAGTGAGTTTACATACCTTTTGTGGCAAAATATTGCATTAATTCAGACATGGATAACAATTTTGAGCTATAAGTTGTGTTTAAAGATAGATATACCTGTTTGATCTACTCAGATTTTTTCATGTTGTATAATAAAAATGTTTAACTGGTCTTTAAAGCTTATCTTATGAAAATTAGCATTTCAAATTAAATTGTTTCTCTTGAGATGAAAGCTATTTCATTACACTAATAGCCAATCTACAATATGGATTCACTAATAAGAGTATTTTTTCAGGTATTTGATGAAGCTGTGAGAGCTGTATTAAGACCCGAACCTCAAAAGAGGCACCAGAGAAAGTGTCTTATCATGTAAATATAACAAATACCATGACAAAACTATTGATATTGACATTTGACATGCAGGAATCTCAAACCAACAGTAATAATGTGTTTCTATACCGAGACATTGCTCACTTTAAAAAACTATATAGATTTACTCAATTATCAGTAAAAAATTAATGATCTGTGCCATAATATTCATGATTTTTCGCATTGTGATATTTTATAAAATCAGGAGCATCACATATTGATCTTTTAGTTATAAACGTGTGCTTGTTGAATACAAAGCAAATGTAAATGCCAAAGATTTAAAGTAGGGTTTAAGAATATGTCATAGTTTGTTTATACCTTTCGATGGTTAGAAACAAATTGTTACTGTTAATACTCGTAAAAATACTGATAATGTTATTTTTATATACACAACTGAAACCTCAAAGTTTTGAGATATTATATTCTTACGCGACTTGTTAATAAGGACTGAAGTAGACGCTAGTGAGTATTATTAATCACTTCAATTTATCTCGAATTTTTCGCAACAAATGATAAGGACTTTTTATAATTTTTAGTATTGACCTGTATTTGTTATGATTTTTATAGAGAGAGGTATAGGTGTGCTTGTAAGAAAGTTTATGATTTGCTGAATGATATTTTTTATAAACCAACAACTTGTGAATGGCAATAACTGTTCAAAGGATTTCATTATTGTTAATTGTATTTTAAATTATTATTGACATAAGAGTGTTATACTTGACTAATTTAATTTGTAATGATAAGCATAATTTTTGAAATCACTAATCGAAGGTAGGGCAGCTACAAATATGCTTTAGTTATAATGACAGTATAATGTTTGTTGGTTTGAATGATTTTATTTCTAAATAATGTAGTTTATTTATCTACATAATATTATTTAGTTGCTATGCCATTTTATTTTTGTAGCAACAATGACTAAACTTTGCGTCTAAAACAGTATGTCTGTAGGAAAAATCATTCCATGAACAAATAGATACTAAACATTGTTGTTTGCGTGTTCAGAGTGTGTTCCTAGGCTTCTAATTTCTAGCTATTGTCTGTGACTCCTAATCTTCTTGTGTGTATGGATCAACACGGGTAAATCAGGCGACTTTGAAGATATACTGGGATTTATTACTTTACAATAAAGCGTTTACAATATTTCAGTTGAAAGTTCAAATGAGAATGAGAGACGTTAAGCGTCCGTGCAATCGTTTATATAGGTGTGCTTCAGCGCCATCTGTTGTGGTTTCTTGACATCGCGTGACGTAATCGATGCGGTGTGCTCGGTGATAGTATTGCCATTGATCTTTGGTTGGAGCTTCTCACGCGCTCCAATAGATGGCTCTTCTTAACATTCCGGCGGGCCTTGAGAGACTCCCTCTCAACATCTCAGCTCACGTCGTGTCACGCGCCGAGCCTCGAACCTGGCACCTCAGCGACCGGAAGTGGGCATATCTTTGAGAATGCCCTGTGTATGACGCCCGTGGCCGTCCGAATGACAGCAACCCTTGGTACGCCGTCACTGCCTGAAATCAGAGTTATTATGCGTCCTAACCGCCATTTCAGCGGCGGAAGGTTATNCTCGTTTTGATTAAGATTCAAGTGACGAAAGTGAGTATTCAGCACGAAGAACAAGACTGCATACTCAGTTTAATAAATAATAAAAATGTAAATATCCCCTTTTGAATAGACACTCCTCATTTCCTACCACACGTGTTATATGGTGCTTACAGGACTTGATCCCAGCTTCCCATAAACCGGCAAAATGAGGCGCGTAAGGAGGAATGAATTTAAATTTAATGTGATTATCTGAAGCGTAATCAATGATAGACTGAGAATTACTCTTTAAAAAATCTGAAATTTCACGAGCTGTTCCTACAAAGTTACGTCCATTATCGGAAAATATTTGATAAGGTTTTCCTCTCCGGGAAATAAATCGTTTCAGTGCTAAAATATAACTCTGTGAAGACAAACTAGTTACTAGTTCCAAGTGTATCGCTCGAGTTGAAANTTCACGAGCTGTTCCTACAAAGTTACGTCCATTATCGGAAAATATTTGATAAGGTTTTCCTCTCCGGGAAATAAATCGTTTCAGTGCTAAAATATAACTCTGTGAAGACAAACTAGTTACTAGTTCCAAGTGTATCGCTCGAGTTGAAAAACATATAAACAGACATAAATAACATTTTTCTAGTCTGGAACCCCTACCTTTCTTATTTAAAATAAATAAAGGTCCAGCATAGTCTACTCCACAGTTTATGAAAGGAAAATTTGCAGTTACTCGTTCAGTTGGTAAGTTACCCATGATTGGTTGTACTATTTTACCTTTCAAACGACAACATATGACACACTGGTTAACGACTTTTTTTGCTAAGTTTCTACCGCCTAGTGGCCACCAATTGTCTCTGATATGAGATAAAATTAATTGAGGCCCAGCGTGCAATAATTTTAAATGTTGACTTTGAAATAATAAATAGGTAAAGATATGTTTACTACACAATAAAATGGGGTGCTTTTTGTCATATGAAAATTCAGAATTAACTAATCTGCCCCCGACTCTTATGATTTTGTCAGCATCAAAAAATATATTTAAACTGGAAATATTACGTTTTGATTTATTTATAGAAAGATTATTATAAAGCGCATTGTATTCTTCAGGAAACGATTCTATTTGTGCCTGTCTAACTATAAACAATAAGGATTTATCAAGTTCTTCTACTGATAACGGCCCGTGTAACCGCTCATCAATAGATTTTGTTCGTATGTTATGTATAAAACGCATTACATAAGCACAAGTTCTTTGTAATCGATTTAGTTTAGAAAATCGGCTGAAATCAATGATAGGTAAATTAGAATCACTACTACACAACAAGTTTGTAGTGGGAAGTTTTAACTCAGGTAAATCATTTAAGTTCTGTAAAATATTATTTTGATTTTGTGACCATTTTATGCTATCTTCAAATAAAAAGGTGGGTCCGTTCCACCATAAAGTTGATGAACTTAATTCATTTAAAAGTACTCCACGGGAAACCAGGTCAGCTGGATTATTTGATGAGTTTACATGCAGCCAAATTGTGTTGCTTGTCAACTCATTTATCTCAACAACGCGATTCTGAACAAAAGTCTTTAACTGATGTGGTGACATTTGCAACCATCTGAGAACTATAGTAGAATCTGTCCAAAAAACAACTTTGTCAAAGTTCAATCGAAGTGATTTAATTATTTTATCATACAATCTAGCTCCCAATAGTGCACCGCATAACTCGAGCCGTGGAATGCTAACCGGTTTCACTGGCGCGACGCGGCTCTTCGAACATAATAATCTCACCGTGATGACGTCATCATTACTATTGCACGTCCGAACATAAGCGCACGCACCGTATGCAGCCTCGCTCGCATCCGTAAATATGTGTAATTCAATCCTAGAATGGTCACACGTTCCTACAACATGACGCGGTACGCGAATATTATGTAAATAAGTTAATGCTTCAAGTGAGTAGGAGATCGCAGTTTAAAAGATTGATGTTTTTCAGAGAGCGCTGCTGCCCGTTCTCTGTTTGATGTGTAGTCCCTAAGTCGCCTCTTACGACACCCGCGGGAAGAGTAGGGGTTGGTGACAAATGTATTCTCCTCTGCCGTCACCACACGGCTTNGATCCTAGAATGGTCACACGTTCCTACAACATGACGCGGTACGCGAATATTATGTAAATAAGTTAATGCTTCAATAAACTTTTCCCAGTTCCTTAAAATATTAAGAGGTACTTCATCGTCCCAATCAAGTTTACATAACCATAACTTTTGTAATATCATTTTGCCAATAATTATAAACGGGCTTAACAAACCGAGAGGGTCATAAATCTGTGAAACAATTGATAGAATTTGTCGTTTACTAACATTATTACATTCAAAATTGACTTTTGATGTGAAATGAAATTCGTCGCTTTTGTTAAACCAACCTAAACCAAGAGTATTACTGGAATAATTTTCATCTAAAGAAAAATTTTTGGAATTATCAAAAGTTATGTTATTATTCAAAATATTTTCAGGCGAATTAAATGTCCATTTCCTTAAGGGAAAACAACCAGATAGACAAGTTTCAGATACACCCTTACATATGTGTGATAACTTCTCAATACAATCTGAACCAGTTATAAGGTCATCTACATAAAAATCTGTTAATATTGTACGTGAAATGTCTTCGTCCGTACAGTCAAAGCCTAGTTGTTTAATGCAACGATTGCTCAAGTACGGTGCAGACGCCGTACCGTATGTTACAGTATTAAGCCGGTACACACTGATAGGCTGTGATGGATTTTCTCGCCATAATATTAACTGTAAATCTCTTTGATCTTCATGAATTAATATTTGCCTGAACATCTTCTCGATATCCGCGCAAGCGACAAATTTATATTGACGAAAACGCAAAATTATAGAAAACAATTCGTTTTGCAATGCAGGCCCTGGCATTTGGACATCATTTAAAGATTTGCCAGTTGATGTTTTTTGGCTTGCATTGAAAACTACTCTTAGTTTTGTAGTAGTACTTTGCTCTCGTAAGACACCGTGATGCGGTAGAAAATAATGAGGTGAAGTGTAGTTTTCAATACGTGTCATGTGACCTAGGTCTAAGTACTCTTGCATAAAATCACTATACATTTTTTTATACTCTTGAGACCGTTCTAACCTGCGTTCTAATGACAAAAATCTATTTTTTGCAATATCGTAACTATTTCCTAATTCATCAAGTACTAATTCATTTCGTACTGGAATGCGAACTGAAAAACGACCATCAACTGCACGTTTTGTAGTTTCAGTAAACAGCTGTTCACAATGGCGTTCTTCCTCTGTAAGATATGGTTTATGTCTATAATTTTCTTCTAATTCCCAAAATTTACGTAACTGCTCATCTAATTGTAAAGATTGCAAATGATGACATTGTATTTTGTTATTTATTGATTTTGAATTATAANTAAGGACCTGCCGGTAATCGCATTTTACCTTCTATCAACAATTCCCAAAACACGTCAGCCCCGATCAATAAGTCAATTTTTGACGGTAAATAAAATAACGAATCGGCTAACTGAATATTATTCGGAATGTCTAAAGAGTTATAATGTAATGGAACTGTTGGTAAATTTGAAGTTATATGTTTCAAAACTATACATTTACAGCGAGTATTATAATCACCGTTTAATGACTTGACCTTAATTTCGCACAACTCTGTTGACTGAGTGTGTGAATGCCCTATTCCTGTGATATTATATGTGGACTGTATCGAATCGACTTTTAATTTTTTACGTAAATTTTCTGTAATTAAACAGTGTTGACTGCCGCTATCTAACAAAGCGCGAGCCTTATGATATACATTGTCATTACCTGCTATCTCCACTAAAGCTGTGGATAATAAAACAGTTTCTGACGCCTGCGTATACAAACTATTGTTCGAATTCTCGTTTCGTGTCGGTTCGGCTGTATGCAACACTGCCGACGAGTGCAGTACGGGGTTCGAATCCGGTTGGCACTCCACGACTGATACTAATGCGTTTTCTACTTTATCATTATTGTTACTGTGCAATAAACTGTTGTGTTTTCTACTGCACTGTTTACACGGACCAAAATAACAATCTGAAGCGAAATGTCCAGCTCGTAAACAATTAACACATAACCTTTTATTATTAACGAATTCTAATCTCTCTTTAACGTTTAAATCCAAAAACTTAGTACAAGAATAAAGCGAATGATTTCCGCTGCATAATGAGCATGTGCGGGTACTTTTGGAATTCACATTATTTTTTGTTGAAGCGAAAATATGTGATTTTTGTTGCGATTGTTGTTGAGGTTTTTTATTGTTATCAAAAGGGACTTTACTATTAGAAAATGATGAAGAATTATGCGCTTTAATCATTTCTAAAGTGTCAGCCTTATTTTTCAAGAATGTAATGAGATCGTCTAACTTAATGCGTTTATGATGCTGCGTAAATAAATTATTTTTATGTTCCTCCCACTCTTTCTCAACTACTGCGTCTAATTTGGAAGTAATGATATAAATAATAAGTGTATCCCAATATTCTATAGGTTCCCCGAGTGTCTTTAAGGCACGTAAATTCTTTGAAACTATATCAATTAATTTCCTTAAATGAAATGAAGTCTCTTTATTTAGATTTTGAATGGTAAATAAAGACTTGACATGATTATGTACCAGCAACTTGACGTTATTATACCTCTCATTGAGCAAATCCCAAGCTATTGTGTAGTTTTCTGATGTGCATTCTATTGATTTAATAACTTGAGCTGCCTGACTAGTTAGCGATGTACGCAAATAATGGAATTTACGAATGTCATCAAGCTGGGTGGAGTTGTGAATCATAGAAAGGTAGGTATCCCTGAACTCTAACCAATTTTCAAACGACCCGTCAAAGGAGGGTAGTGAAATAGTAGGAAGCTTAATATTTATCGAAGCTTCACACCTAGAACTAGCACTAGTTGAATCAGAAAGGCTAAAACGTTTTATTAAACTTTCTGCTTCTGCCATGGTTTCGTAATAAATATTTTCAAATGATTCACGATGTTCTAACTGAATTGCAGTTTCACTATCTAACACCATGAGCATTTCGATGGAGCTTTGAATGCTATTAAATTCACTAAATAATGATTTGGCTAATTCACTACGCAATTTTAATTCGGTTAATTGTTTATCGCTAGGACGAGAGTGGCTATGAAAAGAATTTACAAATTTTACGAATAACGTCAGTCTACCCTTGATTGAACCGCGTTTTTTATTTAATTCTCTAATTACAGTATCATCAGAATCTACGCACAAATTAGGAGATTTACAACGAACGGTTACGTTTTCAACACTCATTTTGACGATTTATAAAAGTGGGTACTCACCAAATTCCTGTAAACTGCGTACGTGACTCGTGAGGAAGCACAACACGGTACCTAGAGGAACAAGCACAGCTTTAGTAAAATTGAAATGGGATAAGATGGGGGAAAAAAGGAACGATTTGGCCAGACCCTTTGCTGATCCCTCGATGTGATGATGGATGATGCGGCTCTGAAGGTCCAATGTTTGCGTGTTCAGAGTGTGTTCCTAGGCTTCTAATTTCTAGCTATTGTCTGTGACTCCTAATCTTCTTGTGTGTATGGATCAACACGGGTAAATCAGGCGACTTTGAAGATATACTGGGATTTATTACTTTACAATAAAGCGTTTACAATATTTCAGTTGAAAGTTCAAATGAGAATGAGAGACGTTAAGCGTCCGTGCAATCGTTTATATAGGTGTGCTTCAGCGCCATCTGTTGTGGTTTCTTGACATCGCGTGACGTAATCGATGCGGTGTGCTCGGTGATAGTATTGCCATTGATCTTTGGTTGGAGCTTCTCACGCGCTCCAATAGATGGCTCTTCTTAACAATTGTCAGTGTGTTGTGTAGCTATGTACTATGTTAATTTGCTGAACTAGTAAAGGAAACGCAAAAGATACTTTATTTTATTTGCATGCTGGTTAAGTTAGCACAGCCAATTGGTCACCGTTTTATAAAAATAAAATGGCGTAAAAGACTGTAAAAATTACTTTATATGCCTTTTTCTTTACATAATGTAAATGTCTTGACGTAGGTCAACGAGATGTGTGTTATTAGGAACTTCTAGGACGAAATATTTTTGTATTTGAATATTTAGTGTAAGATTACAATACATTCAACAAATGATTTATGAATCTTACTAAAGTCGAGAAACATGAGCATTTATAGTAAATGTATATTATCTGGAAAGTATATTACTTCCCATGTATGATTTGAAACAAACGAACGATAGGTTCTAGTAAAATAGGTAACGCATTTAATAATTTTGATCATTACCTTATAGAATATTATAAGAGTGAGACAAAACTGTTTCCACTTCACTCTTCAAGTAACGAACTACCTAGTAATGCTGTTAGTTATATTGCGATAAAATATACCTACTTAATTTCCGTTATTTTCCCTCAATGCGCAATTTTTTTTCTGTTGTGCGTGTTAATTGTACAAGGCGAGATCATTATGAAATGAATAATGATAGCTTTTACTATTTTACGTAATTGCGTATGCCACATCATTTTAATTATGCTATTTTTGCTTAAATCAAATACTACTTGTAGTAATAAAAATATCGAAACCAATAACTAGAAATACAGGAACTAGGTAAAATAAGGTACAAATGTAAAAACACGTGGGTTGCTGATCAAGAGCTACCCAAGCTAAATTCAAGTAGGTCACTTGGCAGTACTAAACTCGTAAAATATTTTGCTTTGTCAGCTAAGCTAAATTAACTAATTACTAACTTAGCACTTGGTCAGCAACCGACTTGATACTCGCTTTATCTGTACTCTCGGTAGTTATTGTGCCATGTTGCTGCAAATTTTTACTCTGCAAGGAAATAATACTGTAATATTTTTTGTCTCTGTAACTCGTGGAAATATTTATAGGCGAGCGAAAGAGAGAGAAAATTTGTATCCATCATATATTGCAGAGTGGAATAGGTAGTCTAATTGAGGTCTGCCTCTCTAGATTATTGTAGCGGCAGATGGCGATTGCAATATTTGCAATAAACCTTAAATTAACACAGATATTTCACAAACATCACGTCATGGACGTAACATTCACGTCTACCATAACGATTCAGACAGAAAATACAAACTATGTATTCAGTAATAATATGTTTGAAAATGCTACATTTCTCAGAGGCACCTAATTTTGAGACATTAAAATTCTAATTCTCTTAAGAATTCTCCTAATTATTACGAACCTGTATGTTTCGTACTAATTAGAATTTCAATGTTTCAATATCACTGCTTCTGATTATGTTGACAAGTTTTAAAGTAAGATGAATTAGAAGGGACGATTATGTTTTGATATCATATAAACATTGTGTTAATTTATGCTTTACTATATTATTTGGTAAATATTTATAGACTGCTTTGATTTACTTTACATATAAATAAAGCTTGAATTGTATATAACTTTTCAATTATTTGTAAGAAAAATGCGCAATTTAAGAATGAAACTTGTGTAATACAATACAGCACTTCATAAATTATTGACTTTCTTGTTTTTGTTTTCACCCCTTCATTTATACACACTCCCAAAAATTTGCTAAATGTACAGAATGCAGATTAGACGAATTTAGAATGCGGGTTCTGACAATAATAAATAAAAAAGCACTATTCAATACAAGTTTATTTATTTCTCATAACACGTTTACATGTTATTGAAACGATTTACACATGGATCAACATTATTATAGGTTTCACCTGAAGAAAAAATATACCTTGAATTTGGGTCAATCTATAGATAGCTTGAAATATCTAATATAAATAATATGCACTACAATGTTATATTCCATTAATATAAATGCATTACATAAATATCCACACATATTATAACAGAACAATTATGTATTATAACAATATTAGACACCGAATTAGTTTTAATAATTTTAAAAGGTATTTGGTTTCGCCTGGCAATGTTCTAGAAACATAGGAATGGTTCACGCACGCTTGGAAGATAGAATGTATGCATGTGATATGTTAGTTTTCAGTGTGACGAGGAAGCACGTTTAGTATGTGGCCTGCAATTTCCATGTTGTGTTTAGCAACAATAGTTCAACGTATCATTATTGTTTCTAGAACATCGCTAATTGTAATCTGACCACCCTGTATAGCACTATGACGTCACTGCTACGGGCAGTGGCATACTAAACAGTATATAGACGGAAGAAAGACTCCTGGCAAGCGACTCAGAACCTTACGAAGCACTCTTTAGGCTGTGCCGGTTCTGAATTGTCTACCTCCGGCAGCAGCAGTGCATTCACACTCATTGCACTCCACCCGTAGCACAAAGTAGGTACAAGATTGTATGGACTAAAACTTACGCACATTGATTTATTATCGAAACATCAAATTGTAAGAAAAGCATTAATTAACAACAAATAATAGGTATGATAAATTATTCAAAAATTAATAATGTATTAGCATGATAAAAGAAAACTGATAAATCGATTACACTTACCCGCTATATCAGATTACACAAGATATAAAACATCAATACATAAAATACTATACTATACTTCATACATACATGGTCAATAAAATAATTGATTACATTCTTGTAATTAAATGCAACATACAGGAAAAGTAGACGAAATATGTTAAATTAGTTCTAATTTATTATGTTTTATCTTACCTACTTAGTAGGTATACTCTGCATCAAAAATAATGTATTACCAATTTAACAGTAGGTCAGATATCTATGTTTTTTAGTTGTTTATTTTAACATTTAGAAAAAAAATAGGATTTGACTTGCCACTAAAGAACAATGTTCATTTTCTGTAAACTTAAACATTCTAGATTTGTACGTTTACGCGTACAGACCGAAAACAAACATATACTTAAGCTTAAGTATAAAATATATCCATCATAATGTTACTAAAAACCTTTACCCAGTTAGATGGGTACTATTAAGTATTTAAATAAATGGATAATAAGGTTTTCAGAGTCAAGATTAATTTTCGAAGATTTCTGATGCGGAACATACTTACTTACATTGTGTAAAATATTAATAATAGTTAAAACATTGATTCAAATTGCAAATATACATAATCCTTAGTTAAAACCTTCATACAAATCTAATGAACAAAATAAGACTTGATTAAATACTGTTACAATAGTATGTTTTGATGAGATCTAAATATCGTAGTTTATTAATATTTAATTTTCTTGGTTTTAAAACCCCATTACATCAATGAATGTTAAAATACTGTTCATTAATAAAAAAAGACAGTTCATTATAATCAATTACAATTTTGAGTATTGATCTAACAAGGTACGTAATTATTTTACAGACAAGTGGAAACCAGGCAATATAATTGATAAAAATTGAAAACTAATCATTTGATATAAAAATTAGGATTCCTGACCCATAATAAAATAATATCATACTTAGTTGATTACGATCCGATCGAGCCAACTGCGTACCTCGCTGGAATGCGGCTATCCCTCCCACATAACCGCACACCTCCCCGCGTTCGCCCCGTTCCGTACCAGAGCGTAGATGTGACGTCACAGCTGCCAGGTGCCAGGTAACTCAACCGGATTATAAGTAGTCGTTTTGCATTGTGCAAAGCATTTCAAAAAGTAGGTAAAACATTGATATTTTTCAGTCAAAAAGTAAAAATGTGACATTTCAAATCACATACAGTACCTAGATTTAAGACAATAACATAATCATTGCATATTGTAATGCAATTTCTTAGTTTAAAAATGCAAATAGGTACATTCATAATAAAACATTACCTAATAATATCCTGAAAATTTTGAAAATAATTTAATACAACAACTGCACAAAAAAGAGTTTATGATTCTTCTTTGTTTGATAATTAAATTAATTATGTACTATTGTAACATAACACAGCACAGGTTTGTGCATACATTATATACAGCATTTTAAAGTTTCTATCTACTAACACTAATGGATGTATTTTTGTATTTTTTTATAATTTTTATTACATATAATTTACAAAGTTAAACAATTCATATTACCTACTATAAAATAATGAATCATTCAATAGCACAGGAAGATTTAAAATTTCTAACTAATAAACACATTAAATTCTTTAACATGTTAACAATACTATGTAAATAATAAAATGTCATGATTGATAGAATCATAGTAAAGAGTTTAAACACTTTAGAAAATTGTGACACAAATTGCATTACAGTTAAACTACACATAAACATAAAATATTCTTAATTACTGAGTATACATTTTCTGGAGAAGCTTGAATAAGCAATATTGGCATCTTAGGTGCCTTCACCGCTTGGTAGAAAATCATCCTGATATCACATAGCTCGGTAAGGTCCTTGTGACTTCAAATATTGAATGACTAAGGATGGTCCTGACGAGACCACCTCAGGTGGAATAGCTGTCAAAGGACAATTCTCAATGCTCATGATTTGCAAACTCACACACAGAGCTAATTCAAATGGCAAATTGCACAAATTAGGATTATCATTCAAATACAGTGATTCCAAATTCTCTAGTGTACCTATTTCTTCTGGTAGGTATTGCAAATTGTTTTCTCCAACACTCAGATAGGTGAGGTTGGTCAAGTGACCGATGGATCGTGGCAGAGTATTGATTTGATTCGACTGCACTATCAATTTCTGCAAATCATGAAGCAACCCAATTTCATTGGGAAGGATCTCCAACTTATTTTCTTCCAAATCCAGCACTCGAAGTTTTCTCAAATTTCCAATACTTGGTGGAACCCTTCTCAGTAGATTGTTTGACAAAATAAGAACTTCTAAGTTCTGTAAGCATTGGATATCTTCAGGCAGTTTAGTCAGTTGATTTGTGCCCAGGTTGAGTTCTACCATGTTAACCCAGTTTCCCATGTCTAATGGCAGAGAAGTAAGCAAATTCTCTTTCATGTTTAGTTTTGTCAAGTTTTTTGCTCGAGAGAATATGCCATATGGAATTTTATCTATTTGATTATGTTCCAAATTGATTGAAAATGTATTTGTGAATTGTGCTGGACCTCCAGAAGGATAGCTAGCAAACGAATTTCGCGATATTGTGATACTGGTGAGCTCATTCAGACTAGCAAGCAGCCCTTCAGGAAGCTGGGATATGGAGTTTCCCTCCACATTGAATTCATCCATATGCTTGCAATTACTTAGGCTTTCAGGTATAGCAGTTAATCTATTGTACCTCAGTCCTAGTCTGGTCAGAGCCTGAAGGTTCCCAATAGTCTCAGGTATGTCTAATAACTCATTGTGTTGCAAATCTAGTGTTGATAAGTTAACACAGTTGCCAATTTCTTGTGGCAAATGCTCGAGGTGATTGTGAGACACATCAAATGTAACTAGATTGACCAGTTTTCCAATGCCAGATGACAATTCTTTGATTTTATTCTCTCTCAGACTGAGCATTGTGAGATTGGTCAAGTTGGCAATTCCATCACCAACCACCCTGATCCGGTTGAATCGTAAGAAAAGGGTTGTCAAGGAAGTGAGTTTATAAACTACTTCAGGAATATCACTAAGTTTATTATGTCTCAAATCCAAAACTTTCAAGCATTTCAAATTTGCAAGTGAATCAGGCAGGCTTGTTAATGAATTCTCATTCAATGCTAATGTCTGTAGATTTGTCAGGCAACCAAACTCTGCAGGTAGGGCCACAAGCTTATTACCATACAAATAAAATTCTACTAAGTGCGTCAGGTCCCTGACATTAGGAGGCAGAGATGTTATTGAGGACTTGCTGAGGTCTAGTCGCCTCACACCTTCGTCTCGGCATCTTATAAATTCCTTGATGACATCAAGATCAGCTTGTATGGGTTTATTTTTCTTAGCAGTAGGTTTAGGTTTGTTTGATTCTGGATGTTTTACCGTGACGACCTTCGGACGGGCCCCCTCAGTATTAGTGAGGGATGCAGTAGATAACTTCTTTTCTCTCATGCTGTGATACTTTTCTCTCGGGCTTACTGTACCGATGGAATCTAAAGCTTCGGAATTTTCCCTTGAAGAGTTATCAAGATTCATTCCGTTGCAGGTGACTGTTAATGTCTTATCTCAATCAACACTTCTATAATCGAAGATTATTTACTAAATCACACCTGACATGGTTTTGTCATCTCATCGCACAGAAACAAATCAATACATTTTCTGACTTGACAACAACACTTTACTTCTATTTTGTGTGCTGAACAATCCCTTCAAAAAAACTTTACACTGTTTTTTTTATGTTTCGCATTGGTTTGTCTGATTTCTAGATTTTATTACTGTCTTTAAACACAAGATTTCCCTAGATTTTTACAAAATTATCCAACTCAATCAACATCACGTCGACCGCACCGCACACCAATCAAATAGATAGTGATGTATCATGTATGAAAAAAACTATGTATCGATCTTTACCTTTTGTTCTAAATTAAGTATGTCGTCATTACTTAAATCTGTCTGTGAGTATTCTTTATTAATCATTGACTTGAACTGAAATGAATTGAAATAAAATATTTACGTTTATTCCCAAATAGTTCTTACATAGGTATCGTTTTTGTAAATTATGAACAATATCAAAATATGTACCTATTATACATATGTACATAGAAATAAACTACCTACATTACCTACATAGACTAAATATTTACAAATAAAAATTATGTACCAAATCGCTGTCCAAACAACGCAACATGGTGCCCAGAATGCTGGCTGCATTTCGACGCTATGGCCAAACTGATTGGTTGGTCAAGAAATGTGCCAGCTCTTCCATCTCCTGTATAGTCAATCAGCCACTTGGCTAATTCACAGACGATGAGCTCTTGGTTCCGGGTTCCCACGGACCTAGCGTCTCGACCCCAAATGGCTCAAACATGTAGCCCATGTAGGTACTACTAAGACCTACATAATTATTTAAGCCGCTTGAAGGATTCCGCTGATGCAACATCAGTACCAGCCTCAGACGAGGTTTGCGGAAGATGAAACGGTGCCAGTGTGTCTATGCTGGTTGCACCCCACACTAGTTGCCGTCCCATCTTCCATGGAATTAAAGTCAATCATCATCATTTATTCCCGAAACCTAAATTATACTATCATAATATGTATAGGTTGAATTGAAAATTTGTAAAAATACCGAATCAAAAATCAATTTTTTAGGCTCGATTTGAGCCCCGCCCCATGATGACAAAAAAAACCTAGACAGGCAGCAATGGCATCGCCCGCGCTGATAGCTCGCGCGTGCTAGTCTAAAACGCTTGACGTGCCATGCATTCTGCTGATGATTAGCGCACGATCAGCGCAACTAACCATTTCTAATCATTCAACGCACTGCTGTGCTGTGACTGTGAATGGACGAGATATTTAAGAAATTTTCGATATATTTTATCGACTATAAACATCCTTATATTTTTATCCATAGACCATAGAGTTTTCAAGGTTGCTTGCATTATGGAAACTTATTATGAGGTCGTTAAAGGTTAGCGGATAGTCTATGAGTAAGAGTAGTATAGCACTATACGAATACAGTGAATAAGAGTGAGATAGCTAATGATGAAAAAGCGATGCGAACAACGCAGTGTCTGCCAACCTTAAGTTGTAATAGTGAGCCTTGCCGTAGCGAGACAACGTTCTACAAATATTATTTTGGAAGACAGAGAAGTGTAATAATAATTGTAATAAACTGGAAATTGTAAATAAAGTGATTACTTGCTCAAGTTTAAACTGCTTAAATATTTGTGAGCCAACCACTTAAATTCATTTTAAAAAAATATTGACAGATGTCAGACACGTACGGGCCGGGCCGGGCTTATTGTTTGTGTAAAAAGCGCTTCCTCTAAATTTTTATTACATTTCCTGAAATAAGTTTTAGTGTAAACAAAACCGCTTCAAAATGGATAAAAGCAAGGAAAAAGAGGAGCAGAGTATCATGGATAAATCCATGAGATCTGTATTCGGTAAGTGTGAGTTTCACAGGAGACACGTTTAAAAAGAACATAAAATCACGTCTAACTTTGTTTTTAGTTGGTAATATTCCCTACGAAGCCACCGAGGAGAAGTTGAAGGACATATTTCGAGAAGTAGGGCCGGTGCTGTCCTTTAAATTGGTATTTGACAGAGAAACCGGCAAACCTAAAGGTTATGGTTTCTGTGAGTACAAGGACCAGGAGACCGCCCTTAGTGCTATGAGAAATCTTAATGGCTACGAGATTGGTGGTCGTACTTTGAGGGTTGACAATGCCTGTACTGAGAAGTCAAGGATGGAGATGCAAGCTTTGATGCAAGGGCCACAGGTGAGTCTGGCTTATTCAAGTTATTCGTTGATCAGTTTTCTAGAGCATTTGCCCAATTACTAAATGTTAATCAATATGGGTTCTCTTAGTTTTTTTTTTATGCATAACAAGGCAGGTATTTGACCACAATCACACCTGATGTTAAGTTACTGGTCATTTGGTTTAAAATTAAATAGTTTTGGGTTTTTAAACCTTAAAATAAATCAATATTTAAACAAGTAATAATACTTTGTTTATTTTCAACCCCCATGCAAGATTGAAAATCCTTATGGAGATCCTGTTGAACCAGAGAAGGCACCCGAAGCTATCAGCAAGGCTGTGGCCACACTTCCGCCTGAACAAATGTTCGAGTTGATGAAACAAATGAAATTGTGCATTCAGGTAAAAAAATAACAAATGAGACTGTTCCTTTGCTATTTATTAAAGTCTCTTCTTTTTTTTCTTGTCGTGTCGACAACAAACCACACAGTGTCAGCCCAAAACACCGCCACAAGAGTGGTGTTATCAGTAGCTTTCATTAAATCTTCCTGTGTGCAGTTATTGTAGTAATATAATATGATAAAAAAGTAAACCTTATTTTTTTATGAAATATTGATGATAAGTTTGAATCAGTCATACTTACTTACATATTTTGTGTTATGTTTCAGAACAATCCAACGGAAGCAAGGAATATGCTTCTCCAAAACCCACAGCTGGCTTATGCCCTTCTGCAAGCACAAGTCATCATGAGGATTGTGGATCCTGCTACTGCAGTTGTAAGAATGACATTTAACTTATTACTGACTCCTACTTTATGGCTGAGTTGCACCACCTTATTTTAACCATAACAATAACAAAAACCGGTGCTTTTTGTATGGAGTTTGACAGATTTTTGACGTTTGTCAAAGTTAAAGTAAGATGATGCAACTCAGCCTTGCTTCTCTGATCAACATTCTCAGAATTATTTTGTCAGTTTCAATTCATATTTTCCTCACCAGAATTTTTGTAATTATTGTGATGTCATAGGTTTATTTATTTCCTTTCTTGTTTTCATAGAGCATGCTGCATCCATCCAATCCCGTGCCTCCTGTTCTACAACCTGGAGACAAGCCTCCGGCTAACCCTTATATACCTACCAACCAGCCACAAGGTAAATTGATATTTAAAGCGTAAACTTAAAGAACTATAATGTGTTGGATAAAAATTAATATTTTTGTTAAACATTTTTGTTATTCTAGCACCACCGCCACAACTCCTGGCAGCACCAGTGCCTCCTCCCAACCAGTACACACGTAAGTATAATATTATACTTATTCATGGCTCTATTTTTTCCTGTTTATAGGACTATAATCCACACAATATAGCCTTATGTATTTTAGTTTATTCAATGGTTGACTTGTTATTGTAAATCAATCAAATCAAATCTTTTATTTGCTCAAAACATGATAGTTTATAATGTAGTGTACTCATATTTTGCTCCATAGACAAAGCATGCAAATCATCATGTTTTTCTTCATAGTAAAGCATACTACATTAATGTCACGGTTCTTCTTCTTCGGCTTGGTTTTGAGAACCATGATTTCGCCAATGTCACGTAAACAGTTTTGACAAAGTAACAGGGTTTACAAAAATGACACGGTTGTCACGGCAGTGGGAGTTTAACACTTCTTGCTTGTTCAAAATTCTTCTTGAAAGATAACTAAAAACAACTAAATTAACAATCATCCCTTTTTCCATTAGCAGCGCGACCGGCAATGGGCGACGTGGATCTCCGGGGATCGCGTTCGAGCGGCGTCGTGCCGCTACTGGACCAGGACATGCGCAGCCTGCCCATGCCGCCGCATCCCGTGCCGCCGCCGCAGCACCAGGACAGGTGAGCGTGACGTCACGCGAGGAGTGGCACTGGACCAGGACAGGTGAGCGAGGCGGGCCGGGTGACGTCACGCGAGGCTCGCCTCGAGCGGCGGCGTGCCGCTACTGGACCAGGCCATGCGCAGCCTGCCCATGCCGCCGCACCCCGTGCCGCCGCCGCAGCACCAGGACAGGTGAGCGTGACGTCACGCGAGGAGTGGCACTGGACCAGGACAGGTGAGCGAGGCGCCGCCGGCGGCTGACTGCCGCTGCAGGCCGGGTGACGTCACTGCAAGGAGTGGCACTGGACCAGGACAGGTGAGCGAGGCGCCGCCGGCGGCCGACTGCCGCTGCAGGCCGGGTGACGTCACGTGAGGAGTGGCACTGGACCAGGACAGGTGAGCAAGGCGCCGCCGGCGGCCGACTGCCGCTGCAGGCCGGGTGACGTCACGTGAGGAGTGGCACTGGACCAGGACAGGTGAGCAAGGCGCCGCCGGCGGCCGACTGCCGCTGCAGGCCGGGTGACGTCACGTGAGGAGTGGCACTGGACCAGGACAGGTGAGCAAGGCGCCGCCGGCGGCCGACTGCCGCTGCAGGCCGGGTGACGTCACGTGAGGAGTGGCACTGGACCAGGACAGGTGAGCAAGGCGCCGCCGGCGGCCGACTGCCGCTGCAGGCCGGGTGACGTCACGTGAGGAGTGGCACTGGACCAGGACAGGTGAGCAAGGCGCCGCCGGCGGCCGACTGCCGCTGCAGGCCGGGTGACGTCACGTGAGGAGTGGCACTGGACCAGGACAGGTGAGCAAGGCGCCGCCGGCGGCCGACTGCCGCTGCAGGCCGGGTGACGTCACGTGAGGAGTGGCACTGGACCAGGACAGGTGAGCAAGGCGCCGCCGGCGGCCGACTGCCGCTGCAGGCCGGGTGACGTCACTGCGAGGAGTGGCACTGGACCAGGACAGGTGAGCGAGGCGCCGCCGGCGGCCGACTGCCGCTGCAGGCCGGGTGACGTCACGCGAGGCTCGCTTCGAGCGGCGGCGTGCCGCTACTGGACCAGTACGGCTAGTACGAAAAACTTTCGAGTTCGAATCGCCATCAAAAGATTTAGTAAAAAAACTACAACAGCGCCCTTGTGAACATGTCGTAAAGTGAACTTAGTATGAGAAATGGTTGCACAAAACTTATTTTGAGAATCAAAATTGTCACATTATCGTATAATTCGAAGTTTGAGTATCGAATTTTGTCGAATACACAAACGATTCGAAGACGAAAGTTGTTCATGCTAGAGGTACAGGACAGGTGAGCGAGGCGCCGCCGGCGGCCGACTGCCGCTGCAGGCCGGGTGATGTCACGCGAGGAGTGCACTGGACCAAGACAGGTGAGCGAGGCGCCGCCGGCGGCCGACTGCCGCTGCAGGCCGGGTGACGTCATGAAAGGAGTGGCACTGGACCAGGACAGGTGAGCGAGGCGCCGCCGGCGGCCGACTGCCGCTGCAGGCCGGGTGACGTCACTGCGAGGAGTGGCACTGGACTAGGACAGGTGAGCGAGGCGCCGCCGGCGGCCGACTGCCGTTTCAGGCCGGGTGACGTCACTTAACGTGCGTTGTTTTAAGCAGGGTACTCATCTAGCCGTGTAGCATGTAATGTACCAGATACTGTATCAAGTGAGCTCGCAGCTAGATACGCGATGACCGTGGACGAGCCGTACTCACTTGAAGGTTGGACACGTTACATGCTACGTTACGTGCTACATGGCAGGTGAGTACCCTGCCTTAGGCCTAGTTAACCTCGGACGGGGACGTGCCGCTACTGGACCAGGACCACTGCGCATCGCATTGTTGCTGCCGTGCTTGTCTTCAGATGACTCATGGATATCCCTGCGCAACTTTGGAAGTCTGACTGAAAGAAAATTACTTATGTTGTGGATGATATTATGTTCAGAAAGTTATTTGCTTTGCGTATTTTATATGATACTGACCTTATGGAATTGTACCGCCAAGTCGAGCGCGAAGCAAACACTGCCGTACCATCCTTTACTGGAACCATTTCGCCGCATTTTCAGGCCCCTATTTGAGAACCTCTGGATAAGACCAGAACGCAGAAATTTTCGTCATCTAGTAAGCTATAATCACATACTTAAAATCCAAAATTTCAAGTCTGTAGGTCATTTAGTTACGAAGTTAAGCGAAAGCAAAGTTTCGCATCAACGGCCAAGTCACACAACATTAACTATAATAATAAAGAAATCGCAGTAAGGAACCATAGACTTGGCACGACTTTGTCTAGATTTCATTACTTTTTAGAGATAAACAAGCAGCTTCATCGAGACTTGGCTAGTTTTTTACAGAATGTTTTTGGTGGGTCATTTTTTCAATTTGAATACTTAAGACTGTGAGGGTTATTTCATGTCTCTTTATCAGTAAAATAAAACCTAAAATTTATTTAATTTTTGTTAAGTCCTGCTGCTCCAATGGAACATAAGGAGATGTAAGTCAATATAGTTTAAAATTCAACATGATTCACCCCTCCTTTTTTTTAAACAGTGATTATTTTATTTATTCTTTTTATATGATTTTATTTACAGCCGTAAGAAGTTCATTTTATTTTGCTGCTCTTTTAAATTTAATTATGTTTTTATGAGACTTTATTTATCATTCAGCTTTTCATTATTTATGAAGTATATATTCATTTTAAATTATGATTTGATTGTCATATTATAATTGCAATTTACATACAATTTTGAATGTGCTTCAACATAATTATTGGCGACACAGAAAATACGACATAAAGTTGAAAGTGAATTTACAATTATTTCAAATAAACTGTTGTTTTCGTTGTTGTTAAATTTACTGCTAACTCCTTGACACAATTTAACCATTTTTTACCCTCCACCACCACCTGACACTTCGTGCTATTGTTTTCAACATTGAGGAATATTTTAGTCGCCAATGTCCTACAGAATTAATTTATGTAGGACATTGGCGACAATAAGCAGTGTAAAAACGACTTTATTTGATTGGCAGCGGTTTCCCGCGCGACCCGAGGCTGGCTAACGCGCAGTTCAACGCGGACCCTCGCATGCGTTCCAACGACCCGCGCACACAGGCCAAGATGGCGCCGCGTGAGTATTCTTTTATTTAATTAACAATTATTTTTTAAATTATGGCTGTTTGTAAATGAACAATCAGTAAAATAAGGCCATCAAGTGCCTTTACACAGACGAGGGCTCGTCAATCTAATCACGTTGGCCTTTTTGTTACCGAGGAAAATGCCTCTTAGCCTGTTAGGCTGGTTTTAGAGTCAAGCTGAAGCATGCTGACCGTCAGCGCTGACAGCCGAAATGTATGAAGCGTCGGCGCCGAGCGATCAACATCACTCAGGAACGTTCCCTTCAATTACACACATATTGATCTGTCAGCGCCGACGATCACCGAGCGGTCATCGCGATTCTAAAACCCGCCTTCCCTTCACTCGTGCACTACAATTCAAATGTCGTTCTGTCATACACTTTGATTGCGATAGTGGCGCCCACTAGTGAACGCTAAATTATCGTATTATAGTTGCTGCAACTAATTTGGTATTATTTTGTAACAGAACAAATGCCGCCGGGCATGCCAAGCATGGCGCAAGCTCGGACGATACAGGGAATACCGTCTGGTGCCTCCGATCAAGAAAAGGTGAGTAAGCAATTCAAAGTCAAAGTCAAAATTTCTTTATTTGTTTAGACTAATAAATAGTTTTTACAAATCGTCATTTTGCTCTTAAGGAGCCTCTACATGTCTCATAATCTTTTTACCCTACCTATTCAAATACCTTTTGCCGGCCAGACATACTTATTTACCAAGTTGTATCAAAACTTGATCTCTATTTTCCTTGTCGCCTTATTGACAAGTTCTGCCCGATAGAATTCAAACTCCATTTCTCCCTTGACCATTTGACAAAATCCTGACACAAGTTGAAGTCCTTGTCCCTTGCTTTTCGCCCCATTGACAAAGTCCTGTCAAAAATTTAACTTAATTTCCTCCCTTGCTTTTCGACTTAATGACAGAGTCAATCATGGTTCTCAAAACCAAGTCGTTGCCAAAATAAGAAGAAGACAAAGTCCTGTCAAAAGTTGAACTGAATTTCTCCATGCTTTTCGTCTTAGTGTTGATAGAATTAAGAGCTAAATTTCCCTTCTCAGGCCGCGCTGATCATGCAAGTGCTGCAGCTATCGGACGAGCAGATAGCTCTGCTGCCGCCGGAGCAACGCGCCAGCATCCTGATGCTCAAGGAACAGATCGCCAAGAGCACGCAGCAGCGATAGACACAGAACACAAGTCTTCTTGTTTACGAGCAAAACGCAAGTCTACAATTTTTTACTCGCGTTGCTTAAGACGTCGTGTTTTGACCATAATGTTAATAGTCCTTCGGAATAGAGCAACAACCACGAGCTGTCGAAACCGATTTTGGATGACACTAGATCAGTGGTTCTTAACCTTTAAGTCACGAGGGACCATTTTACCAAATTTCTGTCTTGTCAGGGACCACTTTTTTTTTTCAAAATTCTATGAAAGTGGAGGTCGATTTCTCGTCCACTGTGCGGCGCCGTTTGCGTTGTGTTGACTCGACTCATCACGTCACGTCACTTGTTTATTACGATGTCTTCGTGGACCACTTGGAATACCTCCAGGGACCACCAGTGGTCCGTGGACCACCGGTTAAGAACCACTGCACTAGATATTATTTGAGTGTCAGGATTATTTAATTTTCACTGTTTTGTACAATAAATCAAATCACTGAACCAGTCACCATGTTTCTGAAGCACTATTATGTACTCATAAACATCCACATCCATGATTTCACTCACGTAAAATCTGAAAATATCTCACAAGTTCAAGTTTTCAGCGTGCCACTAAGTGCTTCTGAACTGTCAAATAGTTGCAAAAAACGGTTCTGTTTGACGTGACGGCGACGACACGCATCTCTTTTTATAGCACAGTGTTGCAGCTACTGCTAGTGACATCTCGCTCGCTCAGTTCTTTGTTGTTCTATTCCGCTAGGTATAACTTTATGGTTTTTACTTACAGTACTCGAGAACGTTATGAAGACTATCGTATTTTCGTTCACGTTTTCGTTATTTGCGTTAGCGCCACACCGGCGAGTAAGGTCACGATCACTTGATAGTGGCGCCAACTGGTGATCGCTGAAGTAGGATGGAGGACTATAGCATTTGCTCCCACCGAGATGGCGCCACGGTATATTAGGGTCATGTCAATCGCCAGTGGTGCCAACTGTCAAAAAATTAAAAAAAAACTCAATGAAGAATGTATCACCGGGAAAACTTTAAATTCCACTGTCTACAGTGTCTCTTTAAACACTCGACATTGGTGAAACCAGTGTGCTTCAAATACGTTATACGCACCATTGAAGCCATTATAAAAACGATAGCCCTCATTAACGTAGTAGGAAACTATATTTTCAATAAACGGTTGACGCCACTGGCGATAAATAGCTGGCCTAATTAGTAAATACATAATGCAGGATGATTGTATGTTTTATCCCAATTTTTGTCCAAATATGTTGTCTTTTTAGTATTTCACATGTATCTTAACAAAAAAAACCGCAACAAAAACAACAACTATAAGTAACATCATTAATTACGTTAATTGACTTATGAAACGGAAACTGTTTTGAATAACATGAAGACTTGTGTTTTGCATTTCTGCATCAATTCAATAGATTACGTGATCACTTATCTGTATCTAATAAAGTACTGACATAAGTAATATAATTGTTTCATTTAATTGTATCTGTAGTATCGTATAGTCGAACTAAATTTATCAGCATCTTAGGTCTCGTTCATACGTACGAGTAGCAAGTTTCGACATAATTGTTGAACAAAGATACCCCTTCCCAGCGGGAATAGCGCACGCGACATGCGAAAATGCACTGCCTGAAAGAATCACACAACCTATTCCGATTACTATGGAAACCGCTGGGAAGGGGTATCTTTGTTCAACAATTACGTCGAAACTAATAGACGTAGACTAATAAATTTACATTCGTTTTGTAGAATAGCTCAAATACTAATAATAAAATGCAAATAAAACAAACCTTAACGACCTGGTTTTTCTTGTGTTGGAAAATAACTGAAAAATAAGTGAAAAAGTCATGTTTTTTTCTAATTAAATCCATTCTTACTCCCTTAAAATGTATCAAACTTGTATCTGTTTTCTACTTCTGCTAATAGATAATTTTATTGGCCATCGCATGATATAAAATTTTTGCTTATTAGTGTTAAGCTACCCACGCTTTCACTTGTTTTTGAAGGAAGAGGTGAAAACTAAAAATTAAAAACTTAAATCCTCGTAATTTTGCGAGAAATGGGTCAAGCCCCAAATTTGAAGTATTTTCATCGATAAAATTGTCCATAGATTACGCCCTTAAAGTTTGATCACTACAAGCCCGGACACACTGTATAGTAACTACAATGGTTGCATTACGCGTGCGATTTTGATTTCTAATGCTGCAAAAATATGCCTCCTAAGTTTAACTGAGTACATTTGCATATTTTTATTAACGCGAGTATTAAGTAGCTACTTTTTAAGTTAATGCACGGAAAATTGTACGTAAACGTTTTGATTTTCGTCAAAATATCCTGATTTTTTGTCTGCATTCGGTCTCCTTACTCCGCGATAAGTTGCATATGCAGAAATAAACGACTTTATTATTTCAAATATTTGATACGCAAAACGGATGTATTGTCACGCGTCGCGGTTATCTACTGTGGAGTCCTATGGGTCAAGTGCGAGTCGAATTATAATCACAAAGCGATATTTTTATCGGCGTACGTGACGTGATTAACGTAAATGATAATTAAAATCAAGTTATGTAACTAGTGGTTATCTCGCAAGTTCGCGTGTATTTTTTTTTCTCGCATAAAAATAGGCATTTTAACTACTCTATTGAGGAAATACTTATCAAGTTTTGCACGATAAATACTTACCTCAATTTTATTCTGAGAGAAACCTTTTATTCGTTCATTTTCATTACCTTTTAGGCTTTTATAGGGACTGAGGAGGACCTCTTTCTAATCTGTAGCTTATGAGTATCGGGGGTACCGTCGATTTGAAAAGTTCGCGGTTACCGAACCCACCACGCATGCGTATTGCGGGCCCCTCTGTAATATTTCCATTCATGATTCGAGTACAATAGAATAAGCGGTTTAATCGCAACGAACAGGGTAAGCTAGCAGACGATCCGTTGTATTCATTAAGTCGTGTGCGATTAATATTGCAATGAAGCTTGATACCTGTGCACTCGCACAAGAAACTCGGGTTACTTAACCTTTCACAAAGTGGTTTGTCATTGTTGTGGAAGCGTGAAGCGTTTAAATACGACCGCGTGTTCAGGGGATAAAACATTGACCTTCATAAGTTTATCGTTCGTTTTATTTTATAAACGACAGCAGACCTAGGTATACTAATATGGATAGGTTACAATGCTAATAAATAATCCTAGGAGTAATACACATGTGTTACCTACTGTAATGAGTGCTGGAATGTTATAATAGCTCTGTCGTAGTGCATGTTTGGGCGATGCACTCATTTACAGCAGATATGCGCCTTATTTAAGACCACTAAAGACTGTATTCGCATTGTAGATGATTGACATGAGCAGATATCACTGCAGTGAAGTTTGCCAAAACTTCTCGCGTGCGTAAACTGTGGAAACCAGATTTCGAGCCAAAGAAATGATGATTAATATTTGTTATTAACACGGGCCTACAGTTTACCGACTCGTCTCATTCAGTTTCCAACGTCCGTAGGACGTGCGTGTGCGGTCGTTCTCGTTTCGATTTGCGCACTTCCGTAGATATAAATACAGCGTGTGTTTATTTGAGTTTGGGACTTTCTGATTTGGCGTAAACATCGTGTAAGGCAAGTTTTTCATGGCTACTAAGTGAATATTCTTCAGCATTGATATTTATTAATTAATGACGTGTTACATTTCGTATTTTAAATATTAATTAGTCATTATAATTCTTTGTTCGGTTTTAAGTAAATGAGGAAAACGAAGCTATTTTAGCGATTTGGATTTCATATCTGAATGCTTTTTCGCGATAACATTAGGGATAAAGAGCTTTTATAATTCCTGCAGGCGAACAAAATGAAGTGGGAACTATCGTACATCGTGCTGGTACTCGTATTGTATGTGGAGTGTAAGTGGAGGCCAGAGTATTCTGAGGACCATAAGAGATGGCACCGGAGGGAGTCCGCCAATGACGTCTCCACCAGGCGACCGTACCACGTGGCTGACCCTCCAGACCACACCAAGCTGATCCCTATGGCCAGATACGTGCTTCATAACACCAGTAAGTCAATTTTTTTACTAACTAGCGTCATTACCTGTGAAAGAATGCCAAAAATAAGATCACCTTTTCAGTAACTACAAAATTATCATTTCTCTACAAATAATGTGGTGTGGTGGTTTTAGAACAATTACTGACGTCAGAAAACCTATTGTCAGACTGAACCTGGAACCTCTTGCTTGAGATATTTTTAACCACTGGACCACGGGGAGAAATTAATATTATTATAACTTGTCTTTTGAAAAATTTACATAAATGATAATTAAAACTTCCTATTGTGAATACCACGTGTTTATAATGACCTAAGTAAATACCTAACTTGTAGATACAAAGGTTACCTGCATAGGTGCATAACAAGGTTGCTTACTTATTGCAATCTCGTTAAAAATAAATATCCAAAGGCGTCAGAAAACCTTTCATATTTATTTTTAGCCCTGTTAAAATCGGTTATAACACTACAGTACATCATTGAATGGGTAGTTCTTAATCTAATTGCAAATCATCATCATCATCTCAGCCATATGACGTCCACTGCTTAACATAGGCCTCCCCCAATGCTTTCCATGTTGCCCGGTTGGTAGCGGCCTGCGTCCAGCACCTTCCCGCTACTTTTATGATGTCGTCGGTTCACCTTGTGGATGTACATTCCACGCTGCGTTTTCCAAATTGAAAATCTAAACGGCATTATTTTTTTACAGACTGGGCGTCCATAGCGACGATTTCGGTTCTTCCCGCCATCGAAGGATTCCCGTTTTCCAATGTGAAGTCGATCGTGGACGGCTCCCTGGCCAACTCCACCGGCATTCCTTATTTCTACATGTCGCCTTTGGACTTCACCGCCAAGGATTTAACGGTAAGAACACTAAAAACACTATTCTATTTAATAGGTGCGTGTTAAAAAATAACGCTCAAATCTCTATTCAATCTCAGTCAGCAATTTTATCCTGTAGTTTTTGTACGTTCCTAAATATTTTTTTTTAAGATTATTAGCAATTTGTATTGGCCAAATTACTAATAGTTCCGTTAGCCCCTCGTGTTAAGCTAAATAAGCTTGTGTTACGAGTGGGCTCACTACAATAGTCGAGCGGCGGTGGGATTCGAACCCGCGTTCCTTTGGATCTCGAGTCGGTTACTCCGACCCCTTCACTGTTCGGCTATCGTGGCTATAGTTAAAAGTGGCTAATTACAAGTCTGAATGAAATCTTGGCTTTTGAGCTTCGTTCTGTAACAGGCACCCCAATGTTTGGAAGGAAAACTTTCTTAGCATAGCAAAACTAAGGCAGGTCTAAAAATAATAATCAACTTTATCGAGGGTCAAAAGCCTTTATCAGGCCAGTTGTGGAAATGTCAAACTGAATTATTTTTATTATGTAAATAAAATTAGCAAAAATGAGATAAAGAGAATGATGTAATTTATCCTACAATCAAAATTAAAGTTTATAAACAAACCAAAATAGGTGCACGTACTTAAGTAATCTTATATTTAAATAAATAAAAGATATAAATGTACCTAGTTCAATTATTTGTTTAATGTTGATAAGCATAATCAATATTGCCTCCCTATTTTCAGAAAAACAGTCGCGCTACAGTATTAGTGTCTTTGGAGGAGACCAACTACTGCGAACAGAAGGGAATGGACCCTGAGGACCCGCGGTGCACCAGGCTCATGCTGTCAGGGAAAATGAAGAAGGTAAAACTTGCTACTACTTTACGAGATCGAATCAGAAATGAGGAGATCCGCAAACGAACTAAAGTCACTGACACAGCCCGACGGATTAGCAAGCTCAAGTGGCAATAAGCAGGGCACATAGTACGCAGCACTGACGGCCGATGGGGCAGCAAGGTTCTGGACTGGAGGCCACGTACCGGAAAACGCAGCGTGAGACGTCCAACCCACAAGGTGGACCGACGACCTGATAAAGGTAGCAAGAAGGCGCTGTGGAAGTCATTGGTGGAGGCCTATGTTCAGCAGTGGACGTCCTGTGGCTGAAATGATGATGATGAAAACTAGCTAATAAAGCCCCTGATAGTCTACTGGAAACTTATCTGTCAGATAAATTACAACTTTTGTGTTCATATGAGATTTCTGCCAGATAAAGGAATCGGTATTCTGTAACTTTATTAGTTTAGAATTATTTGTTAGAAGTTTAGCTCTGAACTTCTATTAGAACTACCTAAACCTTTTTATTTATTGGAAACCGTTGAAATTGAACCTTAATTTTCCATTAGATTGATATTTATTTTACAAGAAAAACTAATTTACTCGTATATGCTCAAGAACAGTTAGATAATACTCAATACTTCTATTATTACAGGTCAAAGAGGGCACCCCTGAGTACACGTTCGCGAAAGCCGCTTTGTTCGAAAGGCACCCGGCTATGGCTAACTTCCCTCCAGGTTTGTATTGCAATACATTTTATAACTACCTACTTCATAAATCAAAATAACCGTTTCAACAAAAGGATACCGCAATACAAAAGCCTATAAAGATTTCCGCAACAATCGTCCTGCTACAAAATATATTTTGAGGTCCTGCGTTGCCCGCATTTCCGACGCTTCACGCGACTTTAACTAGAACGTTGGTCCATCGAATTCGAGTGGGAGGCCAACAAAATTCAAACTAAAAAAAAAAATTAAACGTGTAGGTAATTGATTTAGTAATTAAAAATTGTTTAACAAAGATAACGTATCAGTTAATAATAGATTTATTATTAACTGATACGTTATCTTTGTTTTTAGATGACCTTTACGTAAAGGATGATTTATACTCGAGATTTCGTAGTAGTTTTATTTATTTGAGTACAATCATTTTTTTTTATAAAATCCCGTAAGGGTTAGGGAGGACGAGGTGGAGTGAGCACCCAACAGAATATGATAACATTTGCAAGTAATTTAAAACAAAGTAATGGTCTAAAATTCTTAATTATGAAACAATTAACAAGTCGGTTCTTAAAATTGGTGATAATAGAACTCAAACAATAATAGTAAGAACCGAGTGCCTACAAGTTAGTTACATTATCATTTGTTTCAATTTCAGACCACAACTGGTTCGTGGCAAAGCTGAAGATCGCTCAGATCGCTATGATCGACTGGTTCGGAGGCGCCAAGTACATCCCCGTGAAAGACTATCTCGCCTACAACTACACCGGCCTAGAGATGCTTCAACACGCGAAAAACACTCATAACAGTGACGTCACTACTCTATAAATAACAATAGTTAAAGCTAGTTAAATGTCGAACAATATTTGGCCGCCATTTTTTATTAGTAGGATAGGGAAAATGTTGATTTTTAACCGAAAATATTTTGGTAGAAAAAGACGTTTTGAAATTCAAAAAGCTACGAAGATTCGTAGATACCAGATCTGACAGTTTTTGAAGAAATAGTATGAAGAAAATACCGCCTGCAGGTTATTATTAATATTCACATGTTTTTTGTTTGTAAATCTAATAACACAAGTAGGGTCAATATTATGATTTGATAATGTAACCAGATTAAATACTCGTCAAATGAACTCCAGTGAGAAACTGAAATATTGTGATACAACTTTAATAAACATTATTTTATTATAAACATTAATGCTACTTATTTTATTTAACAACCCAAAGAAAATATACAGATAATAAATAGTAGTATTTACAATATAGCACCATTTTACACAAGATAATTATAGATATAGCTAATAAAAACAATTATTATGAGAAATGTTCAATTCACCCATTCATCATCTTAGCTTTAGCCTGCAAGCAAATGAGATTGGTTTATAACATCTTGCCACTTCAAATATTATTAGTACAAATAACCATAAATTGACATTTTATAACTATTATGAGCACTTACAACATCTAGAATAATTTTGTCTATTATTTACTAAACAATGGAAGTCAAAAACAAGTTAGTCAAAATAAAGTCATTTTATAATAAAAGTTATTGACAATCGTAATACCACTACCACATTATTTGGAAGTTTATTAAAAGCATAATACTTAAGTTATAATAGTCACCCCATCTCACTCATCTAACAAAAGCTCTATCCTGACCTCAATTTGTCTAACTACTGGAATGCTTTAACTGAATGCCTAGACTTGCTACGCATTAGGGATTACAGATCGATGGAACTGTTTTTAATATCAAAGACAAGGTAGTAAGGTTCAAGATTCGGTGGCAGTTACAAAGGTTTAAAGCATCTGGACTTGTCCAGTGCTAATGCTATAGAACAGGGGTGGCCAACCGGTCGATCGCGACTATTAGTCCAGTCGATTGTGGCAAGGCAAAAAATACTACATGATTGTGTACTAAACTATGCTGTTTCATTTAAGATTTCAAGAAGTATGTAAGTGGTAGATCGCCCAGGGTTTCGTTAGTAAACCGTAGATCTTATGTCTAATCCAGTTGGCCACCCCTGCTATAAAATGATGTACGGAATTCCTCCATTCATAGCTTCGTTCAGTTTTGCCAGTTGTCATTATATTGCTTCTCATCCTTATATAATTTTATTGCTTTTCATTCTTATAACAAGGCAGTACAACTCAAAATACGGTGGCCATTATATTTAAAGCAATTGGACTCGCCCAGTGCAGTGGACGCACGAAGCCACGGGTCTCGCTGTACTACCGTTGCTGCTATAGCGTTATGCGCTGGAGTTGCAGCTTCATTCAGTTTATACAATGGCTTCTCAATTTTAAGACCAGCCAGTACAATTCAAAATACGGTGGCTATTGTGTCCCCACCGGGTATAAGGGTTTAAAGCAACTTGTCTGTCATTTTTTATTGCTTCTCAACCTTAAGGAGACAAGGCAGTACAGTTCAAATTACGGTGGCCATTATATTTAAAGCAATTGGACTCGCCCAGTGCAGTGGACGCACGAAGCCACGGGTCTCGCTGTACTACCGCTGCTGCTATATGCGTTATGCTCGGGAGTTGCAACTTCATTCAGTTTATACAATGGCTTCTCAATTTCAAGACCAGCCAGTACAATTCAAAATACGGTGGCTATTATGTCCCCACCGGGTATAAGGGTTTAAAGCAACTTGTCTGTCATTTTTTATTGCTTCTCAACCTTAAGGAGACAAGGCAGTACAGTTCAAATTACGGTGGCCATGGTTTAAAGCAATTGGACTCGCCCAGTGCAGTGGACGCACGAAGCCACGGGTCTCGCTGTACTACCGTTGCTGCTATAGCATTATGCGCTGGAGTTGCAGCTTCGTTCAGTTTAGCCAGTTGTCATTTTATTGCTTCTCATCCTTATAACAAGGCAGTACAGTTCAAATTACGGTGGTCATAGTTTAAAGCAGTGTTTTTCAACCTGTGGGTCGAAGCCTCTGTAGGGGGGTCGCGAAAGGTCGTAAAAACTACCTCAGTAAAAAAAAAACTTATAAAGACAGATTAATCCGAAATCTAATTATGAAAATGTTGTATGAATTGAAGTATTCGGTCCCTACAAAACATCTTCGCAACATTAAAAAAAAAGCGAACTGTCGGGGGGTCGCCAAAAATTTTTTCATACTAGGGGGGTCGTGTCATGAAAAAGGTTGAAAAACACTGGTTTAAAGCAATTGGACTCGCCCAGTGCAGTGGACGCACGAAGCCACGGGTCTCGCCGTGCTACCGCTGCTGCTGTAGGCGTGATGAACAAGCGCGTGAAGCGGAGCATCGTTCAGTTTCTTCACGTCTAGTGGCATCGCCATCACCTGGAGAAGAGGAATATGTTTTTATTTTGATGTATCTGTTACAGGAAATGTATGAATTCTAGGAATTGTATACTATTCCTAGGAAATGTATACAATTCCGAAGCTATTTAGGAAATGTATAAAATATTGCTTCACAGATTTTTTAATACGCACATATCCTAGGACATGTATACGTTTCCTAGGAATTTTATAGAATTCCAATATTGTATTAGGAAATGTATAAAACTAAGCAGCACAAGCGCGGTCGTGTGATCGGGTGCCCCTCAGTACGAATAAAATTTCATTTAGCCAAACCACATTGGCCGATAGGTACTTTTAACTCACAACTATTATTGTTTAACCTGAAAGTTGTTTTCGCACTATTATACTTCGGCTGAAAAAAATATTTGCCTATTGGCATACCTTTCTTTCGGCATCACGCATATTACGCTGAAGTATTGGAAAACCCTAATTTTAACATCTCTTTTATTAAACTACTAGCTGACCCGGCGAACTTTGTTCCGCCTTAATGGCAATAAATAAGCAGACTTTTTTTTTATTTCGAACGGGATAAAAAGTATCCTATGTCCTTCTCCTGGCTCTAAACTACCTCCCTGACAATTTTCAGCTAAATCGGTTCAGCCGTTCTTAAGTTATAAGCGAAGTAACTAACACGACTTTCTTTTATTGTATATAGATTATTGACATGAAGGTTTTAGTACTCCTGTAGCTGGATAACAAAGTCTCGGTTAGGTTAGGTTAGACTTGCGACCTTACACATACAGAGCGGCCGCGGCGCGGTAGCGCCATTTAAGTTTCGGAGAAAAAAAAGAACTCTTAATTACATTTCCGATTGCTGTTTAGGAAATGTGTAAATTTCCTAGGAAATGTGTCTAATATAATTTACATCACACATTTCCGGGTGATTTTAGAACTTATACACAAATCCTAGGAATTGTATACAATGACGGATTTCATACATTTCCTGTAACATATCCAGTACTGTCAAGATAGTTATAAACTATGAAGAAACATTATTCATACCTCAGACTGAAATCCTACTAATATTATAAATGAGAGTTTGTATGGATGTCTGGATGTTAACATGTTTGTTACTCTTTCAAGCAAAAACTACTGAACGGATTTTGATGAAACATTACAGTATTATTGTTTATAAGGCAGAATAACATATAGGTATTTATGACGATATATGACAAACTAAATTTCACGCGGGTGAAACCGCGGGCACAAGCTAGTAAAATATAAATAATAGTTTAAACTGTTTTAATTCCCAGATCAATATATTCAGAAATTAATTAAATAATTTGTTTATAGAATACTTACATGTTCAGCATTCTTTTCCCCTTCTGTTATGGTTGGTAAACTGTTGAGATGAATAATATCCTGTTTTTCTACAGAATTGCTTATGTTTTCAGACAGTTTCAAGTTTACTGATGACATGTCCAAAATATTTGTAGTGTGTGGCATAGTAGCATTGAAGTTTAAGTTGCCGATGGGACGATTGTACAGCTTATTGGATCCCATATACTCTGAGATGGCTATGTTTTCGAGGAACTTCTCGTGGAGACTGTACAAGTTGGTGTATGTGCACATCATCATGTCTCTGGCCCTGCATCTCTCATCGAGCAGCTGCTTGATTGACTGCTGCAATCTCTCGCATTTCTCGTTCAAAATCTTCTTGCAGTTTGCTAATTCTTCCACCATCAAACTGCAACACAAAATACATTAAATAAATGCTTGAATTCATTTATTTAAAGACTTTATTGCACACACAACAATGTTCTGTACAAAAAGGCGAGCTTAATGCCATACGTCATTCTCTACCAGCTGACCTTGAGCAAAACAGAGATATTTAGTAGGCGGTGCTAAAAAGCTACAAAAATGTACACAATATAATACATAAAATATTATAATATATATTTATACAAAATATATATGTTACAGGAAATGTATGAATTCTAGGAATTGTACACTATTCCTAGGAAATGTATACAATTCCGAAGCTATTTAGGAAATGTATAAAATATTGCTTCAGAGATTTTTTAATACGCACATATCCTAGGACATGTATACTTTTCCTAGGAATTTTATAGAATTCCAATATTGTATTAGGAAATGTATAAAACTAAGCGGCACAAGCGCGGTCGTGTGATCGGGTGCCTCTCAGTACGCCTAAAATTTCCATTAGCCAAACCACATTGGCCGATAGGTACTTTTAACTCACAACTATAATTGTTTAGCCTGAAAGTTGTTTTCGCACTATTATACTTTGGCTGAAAAAAATATTTGCCTATTGGCATACCTTTCTTTCGGCATCACGCATATTACGCTGAAGTATTGGAAAACCCTAATTTTAACATATCTTTTATTAAACTATTATTGGCATGAAGGTTTTAGTACTCCTGTAGCTGGATAACAAAGTCTCGGTTAGGTTAGGTTAGACTTGCGACCTTACACATACACAGCGGCCGCGGCGCGGTAGCGCCATTTAAGTTTCGGAGAAAAAAAAGAAATCTTAATTACATTTCCGATTGCTGTTTAGGAAATGTGTAAATTTCCTAGGAAATGTGTCTAATATAATTTACATCACACATTTCCGGGTGATTTTAGGACTTATACACAAATCCTAGGAATTGTATACAATGACGGATTTCATACATTTCCTGTAACATATACATAAATACATACATATAATTTATATAAAATGAATGACGAGAGGTAAGGGAGGGACGAGGGATTCATCATTCTTGAGAAGTTGGAAAGTCACTTTAATATAGCTTATAAATAAAACCACTTTTAGTTAGGACACAAAACATACTCGTATGAGCCAAGAAGAACCTGGGTGAAACAAAACATATACTCGGTAACAAATAGAAATTTCTTTCTTTCTTTATTTCATATAAGCCAAGTAGATCTGAATCTCAATTACCTGCTTGCAAGAAATTTACTCCTCCATACTTCACACTGCCCAGCTAACCACTCAGTTTGTTCCTAGAAACAGTCATTAATACAATAAATACAGTTAATATAAAAAAATCACTAAACTGTTAAATTGAAAAAAAGAAATACCTGGTGTGTAGAAAGATGTTGAGCAGAGTTGATCAGTGCATTTGCCAGGTGCTTCTTATCTTCATTCAGAGTGTGAACTTGTGTTTCAAGGTCCTCCCCCATGGAAGCCACTAACATTGTCTTCAGTTCTTTATTCACCTATAAAAAGTCCATTATTTAAAAGATGATTCTTAAATAGAATAAAAATACTTTCAAAAACAACATTGTGATCAAAGAATAATGTAAAGAAACTAGAATCAGGTTTTATGAAAAAGATAATGAATATAATAAAGTTATACCTGTACTTGTTGTTTCAACTGGTCGCTCAGTGACTCGTTTTCTGCCATAAGTTCACTTATTTTCTTTTGCATTTCTTCCTTTTCTGGGCATGTTGTGTTTACTTCTGTTACTGACTTTTCGCCAGTGGATGGGAGTTTGGGTCGAGGTTTAAATTCATTTAAGTCAGTTTTCATTTGAGACATCTGAGATATCAGCATGTTGATGTCCATGTTATTTCTAGATTTCTTGGTACCTTTCGTTACGGATTGCGGGGTGATCGGCTTCACGGCAGCGGCATACGGTTCATAAGGGACGAATTTAGGGCTTTTGGAATGAATATGGGACTTCTTTTCAGCTTTAATTACATTTGTGGGATAAACCTGAATAAGACGCCCCGATAAGGGGGCGGCAGCCTTGCTCCCTGAACTAACGTTCGTTTTCGTTACAGTTTTTGACCCTGACTCGGAAGTCGACTCGTCGGACTCCATGCCATCGCCAGCAGTTCTAGCTTTGCTCATTATTTCTGCATGGGTGAAAGGGTTTCACATTAAGAAATGATTTTAAAAATCTCAATGTTCTGTGTAATTAATTTGATAAATGCTGTATGTACTTACTAGGATTAAAAGGTGTAATCTTCTCCATGTCGATAATTCTTTGGAAACGAAAATATAAATAAATTATTAAATTTTACGAATTTTGTTGACGAATTTTATACAGACAATGACAGTCGTCGTCACAACACAGCTGACTGTCAATGTCACGCGATTGTCAAGTAAAAGTGCGTTCAGTTCATATTTTTTGAAAATAAATAACGAATAACGTTAAAAATAACATTTAATTAATATAATAGCCAATCATATACCCCCTAATAGCCAATCTTCTTTTCTACAAATAAATTAAGGTTTTATTCACATTTAAATCTAAATTGATGATAATAATATGTTATTTATTATATTACTAGCTGACCCGGCGAACTTCGTACCGCCTTAGCGTAGAGATTTTCTTAATATTTTTTTCCGTAAGAACCATCTTTGGACTTCCACAAACATTTAAAAAAAAGAATTATCGAAATCGGTTCAGCCGTTCACACGTGATGCCGTGACAACGCGAAACGGGTTTCATTTTTATATAAAGGCACTGGGTCTCTATCAGAAGGAACTCTAGGGGTGGAATCTCCATTGGCGTGAGTTAACGGGCAAGGAGATAATATCTTGGATGGTCGACAATCACTTTTCCTACAATTTAACGTTCCACCAAACTCAACACGCTCTCCAGGCTCTCCTAGATAACCTCGCAGCCGCCTGCTCACACTTGACATGACACAACTGAATGACAGTTATCTTTTTCTGCGCATCAGTCGGGTGTTACGTTTAGGAATCACAAACCTTCCGCTCTACAGATTTATACAGATAACATAATATTAAGATTGGTACTATTAATCATCAATAATCATTTGCAGCATCTGAGTCCGGCGCCGACATATATATATATAGATTATCATATAAAATTTAATTCAAGCTTATTCCTGCAGCTATGCTTTTCTCATTTGTTCCAATCAATAAGGTATTAGTATTAATTCTTGATTGTCACCTTATCTACCAAGATAAGAAAGATATTTATAAACGACGACTCACATCGCATATATTACAAACATCAGTATTGTTATTATCTAACGGGTCAAATCTTGAGTGAATGTTTCTAGTTTTAGAATAATTATCTAGAAAAACAACATTAAAATGACCCCAAAAATTTATTTAAATAAATAAAAACCATCTAGTTCACTAATTAAGCATAAAGTGTAGATTCTAGTTCACCGTTTGCTTGTAGCTCTTTAATAATATCTAGTCCACCAACTAGTTCACCTTTTACATATAACTGGGGGTATGTGGGCCAATCTGAGTATTCTTTCAGCCCTTGGCGTACTTCTTCATCAGTAAGAATATCGAAGGTGTCATACTGCACCCTGCAAAACAATGTTTTAATAATAACATTTACAGTATTAATTATAAAGTTTATAATTAGACAAATTATTTAAAGCCAATAATATATTTTATTCCCCTTATACTAATAGTTTCTTCTTTCTCAAGTTTTACTTACCCTGAGCCGTTTAATATTTGAATGAGAGTTCTACTAAATCCACATCGTGGTGCATCCCTTGTGCCCTTCATGAAGACCATGACATTGTGTTTGTTGATGAGTGCTTTCAATCTATCCTCCAATTTCTGTGGTGCTGCCTGAGGGGCTGCTCCTTTGCCAAGGCTGTGTTTTTTAACTTTGGAAGTAATTTGGGCAGCATCAGCTCCATCAATTCTGTCAACTTGTTGTCCGTTCTTGAATAAAATTACAGTCGGTACAGAGTCAACCTGCAAATTAATAAAATTATTACTAACATCAAGTCTCAATAACTTTGATCATTGAAATATGAGTGATATTTTATTACCTTATATTGCAATGAGATTTCAGACAGATTTTCAGCATCACATACAGCGAATTTGCTCCCACTGTTTTGAACTTCAGCCACCTTTGATAGTTCGTTAAGCACCTCTGTTACTTGCCCACACTGGTCGGCCCATGTAGCAGCGAAATGTACTACGGTCAAGGATGGAGACCTACAAAATAATGCATAATTGTTATAACTATGGTTACAAACTTGAAACAATCTCAAAACATACAATGTAATCACTTATTCCTCAGTGAAATAAAATAATCGTATAATGCTTTAATTGTACATAAGTTGATAACCAGTTTCACTGCACTTACTTTGTAAAATTCACAAAATTTTCATTAGAACTTATTGTAGCCACAGACATTTTCAGATGAGAGGTTAGGTTACCTATCGTACGGTTTTTGAAACTTTGTTTTTCACAGTTTTGTATCGTCACAAACGTATTAATAGCTGCTTTTAAATAATTCACACTAATTACGTTTTACAATGGTAATAAATAACAGGAAAGGCAACCTACAAATCACTTTATTGCCCTCTGAATCTGACTGAAATGAATTTTATTTTATAGTGATGTAGATCAACCGATGAACCGATAAAATGATTTATAGTAAAAACTAGCTTTCCGCCCGCGGCTTCGCCCGCGTGGAATTTTGTCTGTCACAGAAAAACTTTATCGCGCGCGTCCCTGTTTCAAAAACCGGGATAAAAACTATCCTATGTTCTTTCCCGGGACTCAAACTATCTCTATGCCAAATTTCATCAAAATCGGTTGCGAGGTTTAAGCGGGAAAGCGTAACAAACAGACAGACAGACAGACAGACAGACAGACAGACAGACAGAGTTACTTTCGCATTTATAATATTAGTTGGGATTAGAAATTTATTAATTTTTAAATTAATCGATAAAAATTTACGTACTCCTCATAGATTTAATCAATTAAAGTTATTGTAGTCATGGATTATTGGTTATTTCACCGAAACAGTTAATTTTCTGTGTCTAGGCAGAAGAACCATTTTTTTTATATCTTTAAGTATACATTTTTATGGGAAAGTTCATCAAAATTTAATTTGTTTTTGCAATTAAAATAGCAGAAACTACAACTAATACCGTAGAAAAACTTAATCAAAAGTCGTTCGTCTAATTTCCTTGTTATCTCCATAACTCAGTCAGCCACACACAGTGACACAGGACGTTAAGGTTACAAATTACATGCAACATTAATAATACGATTTTTTATACATAATTGAGAATGACAATAAGTACCTTGGTGCCATCGATTTTTGAACTTTTGAAATTTAATTTATTCTGAGGTTAGAATCCAATTGATTGTTTTGTGTAAAATGGTGATAATGATTAATTGTGTGAACATCAATTTATATCGATTTCATGCGAACTAGACTTACAAACAACACTATTTTGCAGTATTTTTTTTCATTTTGACAGATGGTCAGGTTACAGATTATACAACGCATTGTCATGCACAGATTATAGATTAAAGTTTGCTGGGTTTAAAATGGTTTATATTTCGATTTTCTAACTGAAACTTACGTAGTAAAACATAATTAAATTATAATCAGCCTGTATGTAGCTCCAGTATTTGCTTTTTCGTTTTAGCTTAGTACATCGGTATTAGCATGAATTATATTTTAACGGTAACGTTATCGATTATTTCAAAAGCAATGACAAATCGGGATTGTCGGGGTCGGGCGGTGTTTTTTGAGGTTAGGAATTGTTTAATTCCTATAACAACTTGCTATTATGCCCATTTTCTTCTAAAAGTAATCTAAAATTTCAATTTTGAGTAAGAATTAAACTTATTTCACGAAAAATGGCTACTGTGTCGATGGCGCCTGCTCCTGGGATGCACCAAATTGATTTGTCGAAGCTAAATCTTCACCAGCTGGGTCAGTTGAAGCAGCAATTGGATCAAGTGAGTTTCTTGTAATAGTGATTCTCAGATCTAGTATGCTTACATACTACATCTTAAGAACGACTTAAGAAGTATAGCTTCTAATCTCTTATTCTTATTTCAGGAATTAAATGTATTTCAAGACTCTCTTCAAACACTAAAAATAGCACAGAGTAAATTTGTGGAATCAGGAGAGAGTGTTGAGAAATTGACACCACAAACCAAGGGCAAGACTGTGCTGGTACCTTTAACTGGATCCATGTATGTCCCTGGAGTAATTACAGACACGGAACATGTTATCATTGACATTGGCACAGGCTATTATGCTCAGAAAGTAAGTATTGGCAGTCTAATATCAATTCTTTTTTTGTTATGCATGACAAGGCAGGTATTTGACTGCAATCACACCTGGTGTTAAGTGAGATGCACTGTTACTACTTCTTATTGTTATAGAGCTATTCTCTTTCAGAAAGAGCATTTTACTTGCTGTTTTAACTTTGAACACTGTTAAAAGATTGCCCTAAAACTATCTCGCATCCCTAATTTATGATTTTGACAAGCAAAATAAACAATGCTGTTTACAGTTTTTTTTTATAAAACCTTACTTCTCTTTTTCAGGATATTGAAGGAGGCAAAGACTATTTCAAAAGGAAAGTCCAGTTTGTAACAGAACAGATGGAAAAGATCCAACAGTTAGGCACAGAAAAGTCAAAGGCCAGGGAAGCTATCTGCATGATGATGGAAATGAAACTGCAGGCGCAAGCGCAGGCCCAGAAGGCAGCTTCATAACACTTGGCTCGCGTCTGTGTTCACAAACTGCTTGCTTTAATACAAATTTACTCCAAGAATGCAAGTATAGGTACAATAGAAGAATATACAACATTTTTACTGAAATCATTTTAAGTTAAATGACTGAAGCATACATTTATACATGAGAGACATAATTCTTTGTCGAAAAATGAATGTGTACCTACGTTATATTCATTCTCAGAATGGACTTAATAGATTTTGTTGTACCAAATGTTACGCATACTTTGATGATACTGTTGTGTTAAATTTATTTATTAATTTTAAAGCTGGGAGCACCCTGCATTCATTGATAATGTTAATTAAAAAGTAAATTCTCATTTTGGAAGATCACAAATTATACTATTAATATTTGTTATGCTTAACTATTATTTTAGTTTCTCTTTAAAATATAAATAAATTAACATTCTTCAATATATTTTTTATTTATGTAGTCAGATGTGTAGAACCCCATTTTTAGTTGAGGAAGACAATTTGATGCAAATTAAGAATCAAATATGAAAAAGGGTGTGTTATTTAGGTTTTCGTTTTTTTATTAAACAAGTAAGTAATACTTTTGGTATGGTAGTTTGAAATCTATTGTAACATTACACATTATATTAGGACCACTATGTTCTTAGGTTTCACTCTGTGCTAGATTGTTTCGGTTTATTGATGTGTAAAGGTTGCTACACACATAAGCGGGCCCGCATTAGTTCTTGTTTGGCTTCAGTGGCCAGTGTTCACGAGCGCTAAGCCGAGCGGCTTTTTACCCGACTGCGCTAGAAGGAGGGTTATGTTTTAACCCGATTAATCATCTATATTCTAAGTCAATAGTATATTCGATTTGAACGTCGGCGCAGTGCCGACCCGCAATGTACAGTCACGGAATGAAAAGGTTCGTCAGTTTTCAAATTGATTCCTTCAACGAATCGCGAGCACATATTACCTTTTGAAACTATGTTACAGAATAATCTCGAGTTAGAGAAAATAATCTTTAACTGTTCGTCAGTAAAGTTCAAAATTATTCAGATCAAAGTTGTTTGACGATTTATTTTGTCAAGAAGATTAATATGATTGATAAACTAAAACCTTCTTGTTGGTTCCACCTGCCATTATTATTTAATTTTCTATTAAATAAAAAAAACTATTGTCAATTGGTCAATGTCATCATTGCATTGCACTGATGGGATAGAAAAATAAACAAGCAAAGATTCCGTGGAGGGTAGTTGAACGGGAAGCATGGTCGATCTGTTTTAATGGTTTCAATTTATTATTTAATGGACTTTAGTGTACAAATTTGGTGTTATTTTGTGTTCTAAAGTGCAGTGAAGTGATAAATTATAAAAAACATTGAAATACTTCGAATTTGAGCGCGCATCGAGTGTCGAGTGGGTTGTCGTATGAGCAACCCGCTTTGGACCCGGTGGCGTCTCGAAACCTGCTTACGGGCATACTTAACTCCACGGAATCCATGAAAAATCAATAGAACTGAAACACCCACGTTCTATTGATAACTATGTCAATATTTTTCACTCGACATTGGCAGAAATAAACCTCCCAGAGAGGTTTGATTGCCACAAATAAAAAAAAAAAAAAAAAACAAGCAAAACCTTATTCGTTAGCAAACGTCATATTTATTTAAATGTTAGCAGCACTGTTTCTTGAACGGTTATGTTGGCAGGTTTGACTCTTACAGTACCTAGTGCAAGCGAAAACCGACACTAAGGTGACGAACCTTTTCATTCCGCGACTGTACACCGGCCACAGTATTAACTCACCATTTCCGTTTTTGCTCTCGCTCTCATCAAATGATTATTCTTTGCGATAGAACGAGACGACATGACCTGCAATGGGCAGTTAACACTGTTGCCGATAGTACGTGCAGAAACCAGTGGAGCGTCGGTAAACACCTAACGTTGTTGACTAACGGCTTACGGGCTTTTTACTACTTTGTTGAACCAGTAAACAGACCTACCTATCTAATACCTACTTGGGTACTCGTAGTTAATCTGACCAGGGAATCGAACCCGGGATTCATCTAATTAAGTAATGCGCATCTATGCCATCGGTATGGTGGCGTTACAATTTTTTCGTGAGATTTCGTGATAGCGATCGATCTTACGAAAAAAGTGTAATCGTGTTATGATAATTAATTAGGTAAGTATGTTTTACTTACCGTAGGGGTGTTTTACTTAGGGCTGATTTTTCAATAGTCAGATATCTTATAACTGACAATGTGCCAAACTTATTCTTCAGTTAAAAGTTATCTGACGATTGAAAAATCGGCACTTAATCGATTATTTAATGTACTCGTATAGGAAGAGGAAAAGAGTAGGAGACAAGAATTTGTGACACCAAATGATTTATTTTTTTAATAGGCCAAAATGATAGCGCTGATATCTACAATATAATGACTTATTATAAACTATATTATTATGTATCTACAATATGTCTTATAGTCACAAAACAATATTAACTAAATAAGGCAACGACTATTCCTTAACTTTGTAAACAATTTCTATATAAGTGTTGTAAATCAAATTGATTTTTTATTCAATTATTTCTTACCATGAACACGTGAAAAGTTGTTGGATACAAGATAGATTTTAATATATTAGTAGGTATAATAAATTTACAATGATATCAGCTTTAAGTATAAAATATAATAGTACATTGAAAGTATTTAAGCTGGAATGAAAGCTATTCTTTTAGGGCAAATAAATAGCTTCGAGACTGTAAATAGACTCAATTTGTATTGTGATAGTTATTGATTAAAGTTATAAAGTTACCAAATACGGATCACCACTCCCATGATTTAAATTCATAACATTTCGAAACTTTTTGTAGTCCTAGTTTAAGATTGTGGATCTTCTATTTACTTTCTAATATTGACTGATATCAGCACCTAAATTTAAGTCGTGTACGTATTCGTAAAAATATTTTAATTGAAATTAATAACTATAATAATATTTACATTTTATTACATTATACCCTAAGTAAGTTAACTGTAACATTTTAAATTAATATCGATACAAAGAGAATACCCAGTTTGCGTTCCATTGCCTTTGGCGGAAACAAACAGTTCAATCGAGCCGTGTCGCCTCAACTCTGCACTTCGAACGTGCGCGAGCGCAGAAGCGTTACGCGAACAGATCACTCGCCTGCTCGGCGAAGTCCTTATCTCAAATGGTGTAGTACTCCGGGGCGAAGTCGTTGGCGAGGTTGCTGAGGAAGTGGAAATCCGAGGAGGAGTTGGAGTTGTCACCGGCGGGGGTGGCGTGCGTGGCCTCGTAAAACTGTTGGAAGGAGCCGTAGCCGTCGCCGCAGTCTCCTGTGCCCCCGTAGGCCTCGCCCGCCGCCCCGGCCGCCGCCGCTCCCGCCGCGTACCCAGCCGCCGCTGCCCCCTGCTGCGACCCATACGCGCTCGCATCATAGTAAGCATTCTTTGCATAATCATTGCCATGAGCGCTCTTCTGAGCCTCACTCCCGTAGTAGTTGTGTCCGTGTTCGTGTTGACCGTCGTGGTAGTGGTAACCGTAGTGGCTGTTCGGGTACCCCATGTGCTCCCCGTAACCTTGCGCCTGCTCGTAGCCGGGATGGCCGTACGCCACTTGATCTTTACTGTAAGCCGGGTAGCCGTAGTTTTGATACATTTCATGAGGGTACGTCTGTCTTGACCCTAGACCGTTAGCCGGCCTCGCAGGCGACCCGTCTTGCTGTCTCGCGTGTGCCTGGCCCCGTGCGTACGCGTGTTGCTCAGGTCCCTGTATGGTAGGGCCGTAACCCTCGTAATTTCTACTACCCTGCGGGTATTGAGCTAGTTTCCCAACGAACTGCTTCGAATCGACACGGAAGTCGGGGTGGGGTACGAATTGACCCGGGGGTGCGTTGCCTCTTATAACATATGGGGGCATAGCGTTCGGCACAGCTTGTGGGTGAGGCGCTCCCGGTGGTGCATTCGGAGGAGAGGGTCGTGGGTAGTGACCGAGAGGACTCGGATGCATGCTGGAAGGCGTCCCAGGCGTCGAAGACGGAGTCAGACTTACTGAAGAAAATTTCGCGCCATCCGGTAACCCTGCTATGGGTCCGAGGCCGTCCTTCGAAGACGATGGCGACACCTTGCATGTGGCGTCTAGAGAAGGTGATCGTTTTCTAGATTCTTGTTTGATCCGCTTAGCCAAATTCCTAGGAGCTGCGGGGATGACAGATGCAGGTGGATGGGCATCCCTCGAGTCATCTTCGGCTAGTTTGTCGAGAGATGAGGAAGAGGCTACACTAGAGGCTCCGTCACTGGCGAAGCTGTTGTTGTTGGTGGCGCTAGGGGTGTTGTTGTTCCTCGTCCTCGAGGCGAGCTCGGGAAGCTCTTCAGCTGGCGAGCAGAGCGCCCCCGGTGGCAGTTCGCAGCCCTGACAGCTCTTCTTACCAGATAAAGGACCATCGTCGTCTAAAAACTTGTCGATCCCTGTTTTTGAACTTTTTCCGCCTTCGGATGTTGTAGAGTCCTTATCGTCACCGTCTTCGCTCTTACTCAGCGTTTGCCTCTTGTGCTTCATGCGCCGGTTTTGGAACCACACCTTCACCTGCAAAAAAGATAAAGGACAATCAGCAAGACGGCTTTAGTCTATTGCGAAAGCAAACTAATCGAAAAATCCATACCTGTCTTTCAGTAAGGTCAAGGGACGCTGCTATTTCTATTCTTCGGGGTCGGCACAGGTACTTGTTGAAATGGAATTCCTTCTCCAATTCTAACAATTGGGTATTTGTGTAGGCGGTCCGGAGTCTTCTAGGCAGGCCATTTTCTGTAACAAGTAGAAATAATTAGTTAATTTCGTACACAGATTACCTAATGGTAGAGTCAAGAAATAGTGAAAGTAGGTACAGATGAGCTTAGTTTGAATAATAAAGTTATGATGGAATAGAATAATGAGTAGGTACTCGTACCTAACCTAACTACCGCGAGATTTGACAATATTGCATTATCATTATAAAAAGTTTTCAAACCTTTCTTACAACCAATACATAATTAAAAAAGGCTATTATGTATGTGTATAACTTTACTTTTAATTTTATAGACCGCTAACTATTCCTGGAAGCTTTCAATAACAGGGCCGAGGCGGTCCGCGGGTGAGCTTTCCTTTAATGTAATAACTTGATCGCATGTCAGAGCACCGCCCTTGACGCCATTGTGTCGAAACGTTGTTCTTTTTATTTTACCACAAAATACGAATTGGAATTCGAAATTCAAATTACAAAAGGGCGGCGAATAATGGGGCGATCGCGTTTGCGTGATGATTCGGCTTCGGTGTGCATTCGCA